AGAAGAACCAGGTCCTTCCATAATCAGTTTAAGCAAAAAATTGGTCACCACACAAATCACCCCCCCTCTTGTGTGGTATTGAAGTATAAATCATCAATTGGTGTCAGAGCAGGTTATCCTTGAAGAGATGTATACAAGGTTCACCACGGTGACAAATGAACTTAAGTCTCTTGGAAGGGTTATTCTTGAAGAAGACAAAGTTGAGAAGATTTTAACAAGGATTCTGTCAGCCTCTTGGGAAAGCAAATCACAGCTATTTAGGAATCAAAGAACATTGCCACTCTTAAGTTGGATGAGCTAATTGGAAATCTCACCGCCTATGAACTTAGAAGGCAAACCATGAAGATGGATGCACACAAGAAGGAAAGGACCCTAGCATTCAGAGTCACTGAAGGTATTGATCTAGAGGTGGATGAAATGACCATGATCACAAAGGACTTCAAGAAGTACCTAATGAAAGGAAAGGGTCCTTCAAGAAGTGGAAGCTACAGCAAACCAAGGGTTCTTGAAAAACAAACCAATGAGGGGTGTTACAAGTGTGGGAAGACTGATCACCACATCAAAAACTGCCCTCAATGGGCAATTGAATGGAAGAAGGAAAGAGCTGAACGATGGAACATGAAGAAGGAACAGGTTCAACCCAAGAAGAACAAAGGATCAACAAAGGCTATGGTTGCTGCCTGGGGAGAAAGCTCAGATGAGGACTTAGAGGGTGAAGATGGAGATGAACAAGCATTTATGGCAATTGGAGAATCCGATGAGGAATCTGAGGTAAGTATAATTCATCTCAAAGACAAGATTAAATTTTTGTCTAAAGAAAGGCTATCTGAGTTACTCCTGGATTTCATTGATGAATCTGAGGATCTAAACAATGAAAAGGAACAGCTGTCTAAGGAGTGTGTGATTTTGAAAGCTAAGTGCAAAAATCTGGAACTTAGGGCTAGTGAAAGTGAAAGTAAAAATGCTGAGTAAAAAAGGAGAACGATAAGGGTTCTCAAAATGGTCCTTCAAAGGTGAAGGAATATGTATCAATGTGGTCTGTTAATACGAGACACGTTCATATGATTATAGTCCATTCGTTGAAAATGTGACTTGTGATAAGCATTGTAAATGCAGGCTCATTCCTGAAAGTAAATGCTGAAATATATATGTGATAAAAATTATGCATAAGAATGTGCTTATGCATGGTTGGATAAATACCACAACTCACCTCTAAGGGAGGTTTGAGAGAAATAAAGATAATGAATATTACAATATGGTTACATGAATATGTCATTGGTCGCGTACACGTGGTACGCCAAAAATATTTTACCATGCCTTATAAAAAGTTATTGAAGGCAAAAGTAAAGCAAGAAATGAGTCTTGTCTATAACGTTTTCGATTGTGACAATGATAAGATAATTTTTTTCGTGGAGGAAAAATTCACCACTTAGATGGTGGTATAAAAGATCTTGTAGTACAAAATTATTGAGAGCTCCGAAAGAGCGAATTTGTTACTACCGGAATAAATAAAATTATTCATGGCATTGGTGGTAGTAAGTCTCAAAAAGGAACTTTTTGAGTTTCAAATATATTAGCCAAAGTGGTTGGCATATTGAGACTATAAATGAAAGGAAGATTGAATATCTTCATATTACTATATTCATACCGGGTAAATATGAAAGGTTACCCGATTTTTCTTCTATTTGTACTACAGATGTATAAGCATCATGATGGAATCACATGCCATAAGTAAACTAGAGGTTTATTGAAACAAATATTAGTTGGCATGACCGGTTGACCATCCCGGTTCAATTATGATGTGAAAATTGATTGAGAATTCACATTGGCATATATTAAAGAAATAGAAGATTCTTTAAGAATTCTCTTGTGATGTTTTTTTTCTCATGATATACCAGTTAAGGTTGGGATTGAATGCCTTGATATCTGGAACGAATAAAAGGTGATATATATGTATGGGCCCAATCACCTGCCATGTGGATCGTTTACTATTATATGATTTTAATAGATGCATCGATTGTATGGTCACATGTGCGTTTGTTATCAACTTGCACTTTGGTTTTTGCAAGGTTGTTTGCTCAAATTATTAGAGCACAGTTCCAGAATATATATTATGATAATTTATCTTGATAATGCTGGTTTAAATCCAAGTTGGTTTAGCAGAAATTGTATGCCTCCAATTATAGCTAAACCATTGGTTATGAGAACAAAACTCCAAATAGAAATTTTGTATTAAGTATATTATTTAATATACAACAGCACTTGTACGCATCTAGCCAACAAGTTATGATAAATTCTCCCCATCACAATTGGTTCAGGGTCAGGAACCAAATATTTTCATCTAGAAATATGGATGTACTATATGATTTAATTGTGCCACCACAATGCACAAAGATTGGTCTCAATGAAGGTTGGGAATATGTGTTGGTGATCCCAACATTAGGGGAAGAAAATGAGCAGTTGAAAAAAAAAAGTACATGCAATGAATTATTATGAGTACATTAGATCCTCGTACAAGAAAATATGAACTTGAAGTTCAAGTGATAATTCATTTGCAAAATATTTCCATGCGCATTTGCTGACCCAAACTAAATGTCATATTTCAGCTACTAATGCTCCAAATAGAATAAAGTCCATGATGGACTAGTCTATGGAACTCTTGAAGCGTAATAGACTAATCGGTTCCAAAGATAAAACTCCTTGAAGAAGGAGAGGAGCAAATGTTCAAGATGGTCATGATAAGGAGGCAAGTGCTTTATAAGAGCACCATGACATAACATTTTATAAGACCTCATGGGAGAGGCTCAAGTACCTGAAAATAATGAGATCTCGATAAGTTATGTCTTTATTATGCGATGATGGAACCGATGTAAAATGATCGTTGACGATGTTGTTAGTATAATGTAGCGCTCAATATTATTAATATTAACGAGGATCTTGAGCTCAAATCTGTCATGGAATTTGGACAGATAAATGATTGGCCAAATAAAAAATATGCAATGAAATTGACTTCACCTGAAAAATGTGAAGTTGGACGGATAGTCCCCACACCTGAAAGTGAAATGAAAAATCAAGTCGATAGACATAAAGACGACTTGTGGCACAAAATTTTCGTAAATATCCTGGTATTAGGAGACATGTTCTCCTGTGGGGGGGTCTGACAATATATTTGATATGCATATAATGAAAATCCTTGAATGATTTAAATTGTTCTGAAGCATATTAAGGTTCCCAAGAAATTTATTAAATAAATCTTCGGCAGATCCTTATGTAGATTAGAGCGATCATGGCGTACATGATTTATTTTTGTGTCTAGTGCAATTGGTGCACTAATATATCTGGCTAGAACCATGAGTATAACAATATGCTAGCAAGATATAGTTTTATTTCAATGTGGAGATATTGGAATACAATTAGTATTATATTTCAAAAGGAATACTTGATTTAGATTTGTTTATTCTAACAAATATCGCCAATATTTTGTTGGTTATGCAAATGTAGGCATTTTTCTGAAGTTCGTTCTTCAAACATTCTATTTGCATGTGAGAGTACTGACATATTATCATATTACAAGGCAGTTAATTGTTGATACTTATTCAAGTCATGCCAAGATAAGCAACTGATAAAGCAAGGGTCTCAACAGACAACAGACGTATGACTTGACTTTGAAGAGAAGATTCTAATAATACTGAAGATAATGTTGTTTGCTTATATCAATTGAAAGAAGGACTATCGAAGGAGACAAAATAAAGCACATTCACCAAAGTTTTTCAACAAATTTGTTCAAGTGATAATTTGACAAACTTCTTCACAAGACATTGCGGATCTCAATATTAGAGAAGTTGTTATACAAGCTTGGAATTCGTCGTCTCCGAAGAATAAAGTGATGTTTTCATCAGGGGAGGCAAAATACGCGCTGTACTCTTTTTCCCTTAGCTAAGACTTTATCCCACTGGATTTTTCTGGCAAGGTTTTTAATGAGGCAGCAAATAATGCGTATTACAAGATATGTGTACTCTTTTTTCCTTCACTAAGATTTTTTCCCACAGGGTTTTTTCTTAGTAAGGTTTTAACGAGGCACATTATCTATAGACATCCAAGGGGGAGTGTTATGAAATATTATTTTGTAGTGGATGTCTATAACTCCTAAAGAAGTTACTCCCACTACTCTTCTCCATTATGTAGATAACTCCCACTACTTCTCACCATTATAGTTGTAACTCCCACACCTCCATAACCTCCCCACGATCTTCCTCCATGATCTCAAATGTGTAATGTCATGTTTATGACATTCTTTTGTATGCCTCTATGTAATCCTATAAATAGAGGGTTTTGGCATCACATTGTATACACTTGAATACATAGAAGAAATAAGATTCTCTCCTCTCTTCCTCTCTACATTGTTGTCTATTTTATTGTTCTATATTGTTACTTTGAGCTAAATTTCATAACATATGGGTATTTGTAAAGAGTAATTAACTTCCATCCCAAACTATTGGAAAGTTTGAATTTACAATAAGAATAACTAAAATTAAGAATTAGTGAACTGTTTCTTACTATGATACATTTGAAAAAAATTTAGATGCTAAATAATGCTAGATATTGTACTAAATCTAATGGTGAGATGCATAAAAAATACATTAGGAGTGAAACAACTTGTGAACTTGCAATTAGCACTCATAATTATAGATGAAGAGCAAATTTTTGCTTTTTCAAAAAAAGAATCTGGAAACCCAGAAGGAAAAAAAACAATTTGAAAATAAATAAATTCAAAACGCATTTTGTTTCTCAGATAAAAGATTTCCATTGTTTAAAACCATTTCCGAAAATCTGTCTAAACGGCAATATTTCAAATTTCAACTAAACCCAAAAAGAGGAAAGAAAACAACAGCAATTATCCAAAATAAATCCAGGCGATGATTCCATCACGTTGCGGGTATATTCCTGCAGATTAGGGACTTGATTGAGAAATAAGGTAATTAATAAAGGCTTTTTTGAAACAAAAGAGAAAGTCACGGGGCCAGTGTGACACAAAAAAAGTGATAGAGAAGACTAGGGTCTCTCACAACACTCTAGGCAAAAACTGACACCTCATTGCTTTCTAAATTCGCCGGAGAAAAAGACGGAAATGTTCGCCGCCGTTCTCCGGCGTCCTTAATCATTTCGAGCAACAACATTATCATCCAGATCTCCTCCGGACAGAAACAATGGCGTACCACAACAAGACAACGTCGTCGTCGGTTACTCAGCAAGTTCCCCTAGTCATTACTCTCAATTGCATCGAAGACACAGCGTTAGAACAAGAATGCCTCTCCGGTATAGCAGTCATCGAGCACGTGCCTCTTAGCCGCTTAGCGGAAGCGCGGATCGAGTCAGCTACAGCCGTACTTCTTCACTCACTCGCGTTCCTCCCACGCGCGGCGCAACGCCGTCTCCGTTCGTGGCAGCTCATTCTCTGCCTCGGATCCTCCGACCGAGCCGTCGACTCCGCGTTGGCTTCCGACCTCGGTCTCTCTCGGCTTGTTCATGTCGACGTTAGCCGCGCTGAGGAGGTGGCGGATACTGTTATGGCGCTTATCCTCGGTTTGCTCCGCCGTACTCATCTCCTCTCTCGCCATACCTTATCGGCTTCCGGCTGGCTTGGCTCCGTTCAGCCGCTGTGTCGTGGAATGCGCCGGTGTCGTGGCCTTGTACTGGGAATTATTGGTAGATCTGCTTCGGCAAGGTCTTTGGCTACTCGGAGTTTAGCATTCAACATGAGCGTGCTCTATTTTGATGTTGAGGTAGCGAAATTGAGAGTATTTCCGTTAAAATTCCAACTTTACTGGCTAAATTTTCGTAGCTGAAGTGAAATATAATCAATTAATCAACATGATCCTGCTCTGTTTTGATGAAGTAGGAAAGTTGATTGATTTCGGTTTAATTGAGTAGATTTTTCGTAGCTTATCACAGTAGTGTGAAGGATCGTTGAGATAAGTATTAGTGTTTAATATCAATGCATGCTAACAAAGGTTTCATTTCTTAAATGATTACAGGGAAATGGTAAAGTGAGCAGACACTCCATTAGATTTCCACCTGCTGCCAGGAGAATGGATACCCTAAATGACTTACTTGCTGCAAGTGACCTTATATCGTTACACTGTGCTCTAACAAATGAAACAGTTCAAATTATCAATGCAGATTGCTTGCAGCATTTAAAGCCTGGTAATTTTTGCTCTGGATATGTATTTGAAGTAGTTCCCTGTTGCCCCGATCACCCATTTCCACTATCCAGGGGGATGACTTGTTGAGCATTTCATGCAGGGGCATTTCTTGTTAATACCGGTAGCAGCCAACTGTTAGATGATTGTGCTGTCAAACAACTTCTAATTGATGGAGGCCTTGCCGGCTGTGCTTTGGACGGTGCTGAAGGGCCACAATGGATGGAAGCATGGGTATGATGAATAGTCTTAGGGTATGATTGAATGATAGGATTATATTTGGATAAGCAGCTTTTTTTTTTTCCGTTGAATTTCTCTCATTTGCTTGCTAGTAAATGATGGTGGGACTAAGTTTTCCATCTTTGAAGTTTGAACAATGCTGTTTCGTCAAAATGTCGTTTCTTTTGTGCAAGAAAGAGTGAGAGGCCAGGTAATAATTGGTTTTGTTCTGAGATTCATACACCTATAGGAATGGACACTCATTTAGGAAATTATGAAGAAAGTGGGTAGTTACTTCACCGTGAAATCTTGCTTGTTTGATGGATATTGCTCTCCAATTTTGAGAGTGAAATTGGGTTGCATATATAAATTGATTTAATTTTGAAGCACCGAGAATGAGTTGTAATCTAAGTGTTATAGCCCTAAGTCCAATACTCCAATGCTTGCTAGTGAATAGTGATTCTCATTCGTAACTAGTAGAGCGGACACCACCTGGTTTATATACAATGAGGCAACCAGAACATGTCTGGTGTGGTATAGCAGTCATCCTTACTTTGTCAAGGAGGTTGCCCTCCAGAACACTTGTTTGAGAGATTAATGGTGAGGGGAAGGGATTCTGGGCGCTTTTGAGTTGGTTAGTTGTTCTGAAGTTTCCCTCAACTCCTTTCTCTTGTTATTATGCTCCATAAGTTGGAGTTGGGTGAGAGAGCTGACATTTCATCTTCTATTCAGGATGACAAGGTTATGACGCCTTTTATCTTCTTTTGTTATTTGAAGGGGAGCCTTGGCGTAACTGGTCAAGTTGCTGCCATGTGACCAAGAGGTCACGGGTTCGAGCCGTGGAAACAACCTCTTGTAGAAATGCAGGGTAAGGCTGCGTACAATAGACCTTTGTGGTCCGGCCCTTCCCCGGACCCCGCGCATAGCGGGAGCTTAGTGCACCGGGCTGTCTTTTTTTTTTTTCTTCTTTTGTTATTTCTTTTCCTTGTAATATTTTATATTATTGTATTTGAAAGCCTTTAACCTAGTTAGGGTTGTGCCTTACTCGTGACTTTTTGGCAATGTTCTACTTTCTAGAGATATACTTGTTTAAGAGTAAATAGCTTTTTGACTATTATTCACTATCAAATTTGGGGGTCCTTCCTAAACACTGAGGGGTCGTTTGGTAGTGTATAAGAACAATGCTGAATATGGTGTATTAGACTATTAGTAATGCTGGCATTGGTTATGCTTGCATTAGTTATGTTGGCATTAATTATGCTGAATGTTTCTTATCCATTGTTTGGTTTGATGTATTAAAATATTGCACAATTTCTAAAAGAATTGTTTGTTTACAAAAGACGAAATACATAGTTTACTCATCCACCTTGCACTCAAATCCCTGTTACACACCTGTTGACCACGGGTATAACTTTACACACCAAACCTTTCAAATATGTGTCAATTACACACTACTTTTGACCAGCCTCTAAGACGTGTGAAACACGACCAATGCGGCGCGTGAAAAGTTATCTGACAAATTACAACGGCTAATTATTGGGATTGGGCCCATTTTCCTAACCCTAATGCCCACTTCTTCGTCTTCTTCTTATTAAAAGCAACCATTTTCATCTTCTTCAAATTAAGAGGAACCAATTTGAGAAAAACCCAACCCCCATCTTCACCTTCCACATCTAATATTTTCAAGCTGGTTATATTTGTTCAATTAAAGTGCAATACACAATTATTCTTCTATCAATTCTCGTGTTAGGGTTCATATTGAATGGAGAATTCGGGTCCAAATAAACCCTAACTTTTTTGACCCACCCATCTAAATCAAAACGGTTGAACAACCTAAAATGAGAATACTAATTTGAAAATGACGAAAGTAACAACAACAAATACCAAACGTGTTCTCGTCGGAGTCGCCTTCAAAGGTTAGGGCTGAAGAATATTTTGGTGAAAATGGAATTATGTTTGTTAATCTGGCCGAGGAGTTGTTTTTAATCGATCGGGTCGGATCTTTTGGGTCGAGATTAAAAAAAGGGTCGGGTTGTCCATTTTAATTAAAGAATCGTTTGTTGTTAATTTAAATAAGCGCGTGTATACACAACATTGAATATTAACTAGACGGGTCAAAAGTAGTGTGTAATTGACACACATTTGAAAGGTTTGGTGTGTAAAGTTATACATGTGGTCAACAGGTGTGTAACAGGGATTTGAGTGCAAGGTGGATGGGTAAACTATGTATTTCGCCTTTACAAAAATACCCTCATAACTAGTCCATCACTTTATCTTTTTATAAGAAACATATGTTGAGGAATATTTTTATATGAAAAAGGTTTTAAAAAAATTATTTGATTTGTCTACCCATGTTGTAGTGTAGTACTGAATATTTATTTATAAATAAAAAATTTGCTAAGTATTTATTTATTTACTAAGGATATAATTTTATGTCCACTTTCTTGATTATTTCATACTTGCATTAATGTAATAGCATATTTTAATCAAGCATAATTTTTGAAGGACAATTGTCTCTTTAACATAGCTAATGCATGCATTAAAACACATTGCATTGTTAATACCATGGTTTCTTATGCATTAGTTATGCATAGGATAATACCAAATAGGGTGTATAACTAATGCTTGCATAACTAATGCATAGTTTCAAAAAGTGTACTAAACATGGTATTATTAATACACAAAGCTAATTGCATGCATTATTTTATCTAATGCATCCTACCAAACGACCCCTGATTTTGATAATTCACTGGACTATTGTGAAAATCTATTTTATTTTCTATAACTTTTTGCCTTTTACTAAGTTAAGCTACTAGAAGAAAGGAGAACGAGAAACTCTGGAAAATTTATGATTGTAATATGTGTAAGCTACCTAACAGTTGATAGAGCTGTGTTGATAGTATTAGATCTTTTCCGAATTAATTACTAACCAAAAGTAGCTTCTTCAAAATTTAGAATATTCACATTGTTATATTTATTGTATGGTATTAAGTGAAGTTGTTTGCAAGAAGCTTTATCGACTATGTGACATTATGAGCTCATTTAACTAAGACTTTGTAATTTCTGATATTTGTGTGGGTCTGGTTTGGCGTGCGTGGAGCTCTTAGTAGATTTACTTTTTTGAATTCAAGTTTTAGTTACCCTTGGACTTCAAGGAGTGTTCAGTCCTTTTTTCTTTTTTCACCATTTTGTTTTCAGTAGAGGCAGGATTGATGATTATTAGTAGGAGATTTGAAATGTTGTTGTTGGTATCTATTTGTCACATTGGGTTCTTGGATTTATATTAATTTGATATCAGGAATATGCAATGTTAAATATAGTCTTTATTAGATTTTTTTAATTGACGGAAGTCGATGTATCTTTGGATTAGGTAAGGGAGATGCCCAATGTTCTGATACTGCCACGCAGCGCAGATTATAGTGAAGAAGTGTGGATGGAAATAAGGGAGAAAGCAATTTCTATGCTGCAATCATTCTTCTTGGATGGTGTTGCTCCAAAGGATTCTGTATCTGAGGATGAAGAAGAAAGCGAGATAGGGTATGAAAACGAACGACACCAAATACAAGATGTTGAAAGCACATTGCAGGTTTCTGTTAGTCATCAACCCATTGAAGATGTTGCAGAGAACTCTCAGAAAAGATTAGTGAATGACTCAAGGGAATCACCTAGTCAGCTTCAAGGCTCCATAGTATCTCAAAATAGTTCTGGTAGATCTGAAGTAAAGCGAAGCCGATCAGGTAAAAAGGCTAAAAAGCGGCATGGACGCCATAAATCACAGCACAAAGTAGATGATTCTTTGGCATTTGAAAAGGAGAGTACATCACACCATGAAGATGGTGCTACGATGAGCGGAACAGATCAAGGTGTGAGTTCCAGTTCGCGTTTTGCTTCTCCAGAAGATTTAAGAGGTAGGAAGACACCAATTGAATCAATACTGGAATCATCAGGGGAGCAGCTCCCAAAAAAAGGCATGGATCTCAGCAGAAAATCTGCAGAACTGCTGAAGGATGGTTATATCATAGCTTTACATGCAAGACATCACCCTGCTTTGCATGTCTCCAGACAAAGAGTGAAAGGGGGTGGTTGGTTCCTCGACACAATGTCAGATGTTACAAAAAGAGACCCAGCAGCACAGTTCCTTGTGGTTTTTAGAAGCAAGGTATGCTGATAAGAAATTTGGTTTTCCATTTGGACGACTTCTGGAAGATGTTTTGAAAAAAAAGTATTTTGCAAAAAAGAAATTATGTTTGGATGGTCATAGTTTATCTCTTTAGATGTGAGTGTTCTGTGAGTAGAAGAACTTTTCTTGGACAGCACCATCAAGCCATTTTTACAGAAAAAACAATAGTTAAAAAAAAACAATTTGCAGAAACTTCTTGAAAACATTTAAACACGTTTTATGGGAAGATTTTGTGCGAGATTTCAAAAATATTTCCTTAAATGAATGGCTTGCGAACACATTTAATAGCTGAGGCTCTATTTCAGGATACAATTGGGTTGAGATCATTTACTGCTGGTGGGAAGTTATTACAGGTATGTTTATCACTGTACTTGTTGTCATAAAACATCCTTGAGCTATGCTAACTCTGGGTGCAGTATTTTGGGGTTCTATTGTGCTTAACCATTAAGAAACTGCAAAAGCTTATAAATTTAAGTTGTTGCTCTTGCTTCTACGCATGCTAGAAACTGGAAGTTTGAGATCACTTACGTGTTATTTCACTTGGATAAATAATTAAGTATAAAGTGTGGATGAGTAATTATTTTTCTTAGTTATCGGTGTCCGGGCCAAGTGGGATTAGTAATTCTTATATTTATTTCATCAAAATAATTTTTAATTTTATATGTAGAAATATGCTTTTTTACCCCTTACCGCAAAGATGCTGTAGCTTTCAAAGTGCTCTTGTTCTACGTCCTTAATTTTGGTAGTATATTGAATACTTTCTCCATGTTGAAGTTAGATCAATAGTTGAGTATGATAGAAATTCATTTCCTATGACAAGTTGCCAACACTTGCGGCTAAGAAGTTATTCTTTCCAAAGGTTGAGGGAAATTTTATGCTGGAAAAGTTCTAAATTTGTCAATGTTAGAGGTTGACGTATACAGGTATTCAATGGGAATTAGATGCACCATATTTGTTGCTCCGTTCTTTTGTGGATTACCACCTTGCTTGATTTTATTGTATCACATAAAAGCTGTGGTTTCACCCTGACCCTGATATTGCAGATAAATAGGAGGATGGAATTTGTATTTGCGAGTCACAGTTTTGATGTTTGGGAAAGCTGGACATTTGAAGGTACTATGGAAGAATGTCGACTAGTGAACTGTAGGAATCCTCTGGTAAGTTCTCGTTCAGCTTCAGAAATTGAGAACTACGTTCCTGCCCCATCTTATAGTAGTCACATATTGTAACTATTTTGGTAACAATGTCCCAGAACATCTCTTTTCCCTTTTTCTAAAACTCTCTCCAAAACATCTCTACCTGACCCCTTTCCTTTTAGAACTCCAGTTCTAATCGAGTGAAATACTACTTCTGTCGTAAGAATCAGTTATTTAATAAAGCTTATTCTCTATCATCCACTATAGAAATACCTATATTTGATGTTGTCATCACTGCAACCTGCAGGCCGTTTTGGATGTACGCGTTGAAGTACTAGCAGCGGTTGGAGAAGATGGTATCACTAGATGGCTTGACTAGGCAGTGTCTTTGAGCCATTGCGCATGATTTTTAGAATATGCTATGCTGATTTGTTTGGAATATTTACCACAAGTAGTTTTGTAAGGCATTGAGTCTCACTCGAAGCAAGAGTTGTATGTTTTTAATGTAACTTCCATTATTGCCTCCTATCAGGGATCCTTACCCCCCCCCCCCCCCCCCCCCCCCTATGAAAATGGCTGATTGTATTTCGAGGATTCAAAATAGCTTGTTTTTTTGTTTAGACTGTTGCCTTCAAATGAAATTTGCATGCTTTGTGAGTAAAGAGTGATGAATATAGTGATACTTTATGACTGCTTGTTTAAAATCTTGAATCCCTTGAGCACCAAAGGCTTTGGCCTAAGGTCAATGAAACGGAATGAATACTATGTGAGACTAAGGTTTACATCCTAGCATACGCAAAAAACATATTGTTAGGTGATTTCTTTTCTATCTCCTTGAACCTCGAGGAGCAGAGTTATGAAAACTTGTGCTGTGCATCCAAGTCCGCTCGGACATGTTGAATCCGGTTTTATCTGACAACATCTACATGTATTAGATGGTTGTTTTCTCGACAGGGAAACGGGGGATACAAGAAAATTCAGCAAAGATGTTTTCCGATGGGTTCGTTCTAAATTATACTGTTGAAAAATTTTCATAAAGCACTATCTTTTGGTAGTAATTAGCCACCTATAGATACCATTTGCTATATTACGGATTATAGATACCTTTTGTGTGGTTATAAGATGTATTTGATGTATTTAAGCTATTGTATTCATGAATACAGTAGCAAAAATAGGCGTGAATCAGGGAAGTCCAGCTAATCAATTGTTGTATTTGAGTGTATTCGACTGTATTCATGGAGTGAAACATGGGATTACAGCTGGACAGATTATTGTATTAGACTGTATTCACGGCGTGAAATAGGGGATTACACTGTTTTTAAAACGGAAAGTGAATCAATTAACATAATAGACTCCTAATATAACTCAAAAACTCAATTATAACACACAAATTTTGTATTTTCAGTTATAAAAAAGATACTCAACCGAAAAATACACCAAAAACATAGAAATCTTCGCAGAAATTATATAATACATCTGAATACATATAATTAAAAAAAACATATGCATACGTTCATGGCATATGGCGAGACAGTAAATATAATAAAATACATAGAATACAGCAGGATACATTGAAATACAATGAAAAAAAAGACAGTGAATACAATTAAATATATGGAATACAACGAGATACATTGAATTACAATAAAAAAAAGACAATGAATACAATGAAATACATGAAAATGCATTGAAATATATTAACAGAAAATCAAGTTGCTCACCCGTAAACTTCGTCGTCTTTGTTCAAGAACAAACCCTAATTTTCGGCGAATCCGCCGTAGCAATACAATTCAAACAACGACGAAACAATCCACGGAACCCTCTCAAACCCTTCCTATAACGGCGAAATGGCAAAAACCTACCCCTTCAAGCTCGACCCATTTCAGGAAGATACCGTCGCGTGCTTAGAACATAAAGAAAGTTCTTTATACTTCACCTTTAGGGATAAGCAGAGAGTTATTTATAATTCACCTTTGAAAGCATTGAGCAATCAGAAGTATAGGGAATTAAGCCATGAGTTTAGTGATATTCAATTCGGTGCAAGAATTGATTGGAGTGAAAAGAAAATAGTGTGGATGAGAGAAATTTTGAGATGGAACATCGTGTTTTTAGGGAATGGGGAAGAGAATGGGATGTATCAAAGTAGAGAGAGAAAGAAAATAGTGTAACTGAATAGCGTATTTAGTGGCTTAGGGCTAGGAGGTAACCAAAATTAAATATTTTGTTATAAACCTTAAAAGGTATCTATAAAATATAATTTTTTTTAAATGATATTTATTTAAAATAAATAAGGTGTTAACCTTTGTTATAGGACGTAAAAATCCCCACTTTGTTTTGCCTCCTAATAGGGTGGCAATGGTGGTTGACAATCCTATCCTAAATCAAGTGGAACTTTAAACGATCCAAAAACGTGGAGACAATATACACGTGAGTTCTTAATATAGTATTGGGATTGGTCACTTCAGCGCCCAACTTTCCTAAACTATTACCAGAAACAGCAATAGCTGTACTGTTTATAAGCTGAAATCTCGAGGAGCCAATGGGCCGGAAAAAAGAAAAAGTAAAATAATGGGGTGAAATTCAAAAATACCAAGATTTACAACTGGTCGTTCAAAAATAGCACAGCTTCAAAAGTAATCGATATTTAGCCACTTTTCATGTAAAGATAAATCTGAGCGAAAACACTGTTCAAAACCCAGAAAATACGCCAGCATATTATGCTGGAGTTCCAGCATAAGTATACTTGAACTCCAGCATATTATACTAGAGTTCCAAGATAAGTAATGCTGAACTCCATCATATTATGATGGAGTTCCAGCATAAGTACACTAGAACTCCAGCATAATATACTGGAGTTCCAGCAAGTATACCGGTCCAGCATAATATACTGGAGTTTGGAGCACCGGTGCTCCAGTATATTATACTGGAGCCAGCAAAGTATACCGGTCCAGCATAATATGCTGGAGTTCATACACAGGTGCACCGAACTCCAGTATATTATGCTGGACCGATCTATGCTGCAGCAAAATAGTGGCTATTTTTCATTCATTTGGTAAACGCTGCTATTTTTGAATGACCAGTTCGAAAACTGCTACACCGTGCTATTTTAACAAAATAATGGGGAGAAATTCAAAAATAGCTAGATTTACTAGTGGTCGTTCAAAAATAGCCCAGTTTCAAAAGTAATCGAAATTTAGCCACTTTTCATGTAAAGATAAATCTGAGCGAAAACACTGTTCAAAACCCGAAAAATACGCCAGTATATTATGCTGGAGTTCCAGTTTAAGTATACTTGAACTCCAGCATATTATACTGGAGTTCCACGATAAGTATGCTGGAACTCCAGCATAATATGATGGAGTTCCAGCATAAGTACACTAGAACTCCAGCATAATATACCAGAGTTCCAGCAAAGTATACCGGTCCAGTATAATATGCTAGAAGTTCATACACAAGTGCTCGAATCTCCAGTATATTATGCTGGAACTTTCCGTGTGTTGGAGTTCCAGCATAATATGCTGGAAGTTCATACACAGGTGCACCGAACTTCAGTATATTATGCTAGACTGGTCTCTGTTGCAGAAAAAATGTGGCTAATTTTCATTGACTTGGTAAACGCTAGCTATTTTTGAATGACCAGTCCGAAAACTGGTTATACCGTGCTAGCGTCTTTTTAAGAGTTCACTGTTTGAATAATAGATGATTAAATCGAGAAAAAGAAAAGAAACTACTACTCCCTTCGGTTCACAATAAGTGGCCAATTTGCTTTTAGCACGCCCATTAAGAAAATACTAAATTCTATATAAAAATACCTACTATGACTAAACTACCCCTAATTAAACATTTAATGTGAGGAGTAAGAAAACTTTTTAAGGATATGTACATAGGAATTATTTTGTAAAAACAAATTGAATTCTTTCTTGATTACATAACTAGACACTTATTTTGAACCCAAATAAAAAAACAAATTGGTCACTTATTGTGAATCGGAGGGAATAGTACGTAGTAAATGGAAGTTGAAAATAAAATCTTTTTAAAGGCCTAGAATAATTCTAGAACCTGCCATTTGTCAAGAGATGCGAAACCCATCTCCACCTTCCAGTTTACTACACGTGGACGTCCGCGATCCCAAATTTCCCTCCATTACAATAATGTCGGTACGTCATTTCACTATCAGACACTCCATATATAATAACCTTTCTCCCTCTCAAGTTTCTATTTCACGACCAGAAATAAATCAGAAACACACACACACACACACACACACAAAAACCTCAAGTTTCAGAAATTTTGGTTGATAGAGCTAGAGGTACATACATATATGGTGTCTGTATATCCAACACCACCAGCGGGTCAAGATTTCTACTACATGGGGGATCCGATGAAAACGGGTCTTCCGCGTTTGCATTCGATACAATCTAGTTCTAATGGAGCAGGTACACTTAGGAATTTGAATTCGAGTACGGGTTCCGTGGTACCCGATGACCATAACAAGAAGACCAGGAAGCCCTATACAATTACCAAGTCTAGAGAGAGCTGGACTGAGCAGGAACATGATAAGTTTCTTGAAGCTCTTCAGCTGTGAGTCTCTCTTTCTCTCTCTCTCTCTCTCTTACTCGCAATACTTGTTTGTGTTTGCTGATGTTTCTTCCATGTGGGTTTGTTTTGCGTGTATGTGTGTGTGTGTTTAAATATTACTTGATTGAGAAAGTTCAGCAGGAATGAGGTAAAAATGGAAGCTTTGCACTTTTTGGGTTATCTATGTTGATGAAATGGGTAATAATTATAACTTTGGTTCTAGTGGCGTAGTTTCTTTTTTTGTCTTTTCAGATGGAGAAAATAAGTCTCTTCAAAGAGAAGTAAAATTAATAGAATGGAGTCAATCAAGTGAGTTAAACTAGAGAGAACAATGGAACCGCAATTGCATAGCACATTTGGATGACTTAGGACTCCTAACATTTGCAAAGGGAATTAAGTGAAGTGAAGTCCACTTTTGAAGAGACAAAGAGTGTATAGGACAACAAATATGCACACAGGAGCTCTGAATTACGGGGACAAGGACCAAATTTTAAGTGATAATATGTCGATACGAAGTCTTTATGAAAAGAAAAAAATGTATATGTCGTCCTGGAGGCAAAATCTACCTATAAAAAAGGTGGTCTTAATGATATACCAGATGGGCGCCATCTCCTGACCAGCTTCAGTGGATGGAAAGTGGGAATCAGGAAGAAGAACTCATTATCCCATTTTGAATGTAGCTCATTGTCCCCAATTGCCATTGACGGTACATGGTTATTATAATGAAAGCTAGATAAGAGAGATAAGGAGTAATATTGCAACTATGATGGTCATAAATTTAGAATTAGAGGGATACGACTCTGACATATGCAACATCATAAATGCAAAGTCTGTCTTGGTGGCACTGATTTTTAGTAGGCTGTCAAAGCTACCTACTATTAAAAAGCAACAAAATTAGTCTATTGTGGATAGGAACGATCTATTGGTCAAGCTTCAACGGAGGGAGAAGTGGGAGCCGAGAAGAAAAGCTCATCATTCCATATTTGATGTTATGCACTTACCAAATCAAACCTTGATGTCATAAGCGAGAAGTCTTTCAAATGATTATTCTGTCGTAGAATATATTAAAATTTGCCGATCTTTCAGTGCTAGGCTACGTTTTAACACTCACAACCTCTAGTTGAACAAGATTAATGCAAAAACAAGACTGGAATAGTTTTCAAGGTCTAGCTTAGGATCATAGGATAGTATCTATTCTGAAATCTCACTTCAAGAGTTGCAGAGAATGCATATCCTAATAGTTTGTGCCTATTGTTCTTTCAGCTTCGATCGTGATTGGAAAAAGATTGAAGCATTTGTTGGGTCGAAGACTGTTATCCAGGTAATTTGTTAAGCAGATGGTTTTTATTTGTTTATTTATTCTTTGTTTTTGTGGATTAAAAGAATATCTGACATCTGATGTTTTCTACAGAGAAGAAAAAACCGTATCTAATTATCTGGCTAAAATTTACCTTCAGATTGAGAGAATATGTTGATTCCTAAGAGAAGTTAGATCCTAGTTGTGCAATTATTGCTTTTCTAAAAACTGAAAAGGGCCAAATAGGCCCCTAACGTATTGAAAATGTCTCAAAAATACCCTCCATTAACCTTTTTGGGCTATAAATGTCCCTAACATTTTGTTTGGGCTCAAACTTACCCCTATCTTCCTGCTGCCATTTGGTGGACAGGTGGTGAGAAAGGAACTTTTTAAAAAATTTTAAGGCAAAAAGGAAAATGTACTTAGCCTTGAACATTGGTCTATTATTCTCCTATCCTTTTGGTGCAACCAGGCTTTTTGCAGATGATGTAATGTTCTGTTAGACCCCACTTGTGGGAAACTACTGGGTTTGTTGTTGTTGTTGTAATGTTCTGTTAGACATGCTTTGTACAACTTGTAAACTTCTATAGCACTTTCTTAGTGCTTTTTGTTTATCAATAATACCTTACCTTTATCAAAAGAGAAAGTTATTGCGGACATGTATGTATGTATATACATATATTATTATTGTGTAATATATACATATTATAATTGTTCGATTAAAAATATTCTCAATATTGTTATTTCTTTCTTGCCCATCCGCATTCCACATGATACTTATGTTTGAGTCCGTTCTAGTTAAGAGAATCATCGGAGTCCTTGTTCCTTATTTTTTGTTTATCTTATGCTGGCCCAAGGCAATCTGCTTAGAAAGTGTGCTTAGTTAAAAGCTTGCCATTTCAATAACACGTTTACAAGATCCGTTAATAGCATACACATCATTGTAGTTGATGAGGAGCAATCTTCACATACTTTCCCGAATGTGTTGTCATACAAGAATTATTGTAAGAGAAACAACTGTTGTATGTCAGGACAAGCCAGCATCGGCTTAATGTCTGGGGGCAACCATTGTGCCAGTTGCTTCACATATTTGGGCACACTTTCACGAAATATGCTTTATATTTTGATATATGTCCATATGCTAAAAAGTAAGCTATGCAGATACGTAGCCATGCACAGAAATACTTTCTGAAGGTCCAGAAGAGTGGGACAAGTGAACATGTACCTCCCCCACGCCCAAAGAGAAAAGCAGCTCATCCTTATCCACAAAAAGCGCCTAAAAAGGGTAGGGACAATATCCGTCATCTGTTTTGTTTGTTACAAGATACTGGGCTGAAACTAATTTTTGCCTGCATTGTTATTTCTGCCTGCAACAGTTGTTTCCCAAGTTGGCAGCATCCAATTTCAACCTCCAGGAGCTTTGCCTGAACCAGGATTTGGTATCGGGCCTGATTCTCTATCAGTGCCTGGAAATACAATTAATTTCTCTCCCTGGACTTACGACAATGTGCCTGCTATCAGCACAACACACATGAGAAAAGGTATTTGTCTGCTGATTAACGAGATATATGTAATTTGAACAGTCTTGTTCAAGAAAAGCTACAGGTTGAATTTTGTTATTCTCAGATGACGCACAAGTATCCAGTGGAGGAGTCATGCAAAATTGCAGCAGCAGCAGTAACGAGAGCATGCCTAGGATTTGTACGACTAAAGAGAGCAATGCCCAAAAGGAGAGCAAGAAGCAAATGAAAGGTGTGTATTCTCTTTGGGTTAAGAGGTGTAATTTTATGAAAGATTCCCCACTCTCAGAATGTGCCGGTGATCTGGCCCAGTTTAAGCTGATGAATTATTCATTTGAAAATAACGTACTACTTAGGTCAGATCTTTTTCCATCATGCTTTTGGTGCATATAATAATTGGAAGAAGTTTCATATATCTCTTAGGATAGGCTTGTTAAAGAAAGTGTCAGTTCATGTTAGCACCCACTAACCCGATGTGTTACACTCATAAGAACTGTATGATATACCAAAAGCAATCTCTTCTGCCCTGTTGGGCTTGATAATGACTTTCCTCCTCTAACCTAAGTAGTATACGACAGTTAGACCTAAACTGAGTGTTAACCATTGGTGAGCTTAGGATGGATTGTGGAATGCTTGTAGAAATGTCACGGTCGAAGTAGTTGTCTTTTGGAGTTCGATGCTTGTTTCAGCCATTATTTAGAGCTATATACTCCTGGAAAAAGACTTATCTTTGGGTGGAAGTCAGGCGCTGCATTGGAGTGAAAAAACTGTTAATTTGGAATTGAAAATACAACAACAAAAAATCCAGTATAATCCCACAAGTGGGGTTTGAGGAGGGTAGTGTGTATGCACACCTTACCCCTATCTTGTAAAGGTAGAGAGACTCTGTTCCGAGAGACCCTCGACTCATAAAAAGCATTAGTGTCAATATAATTGAAAAAGAAGCCATGTAAAAAAGAAGCAGTTTCAACTACATGATAATAAGACGACCAAACCAAAAAGACAACCGGTAGTTATAGAGATCTATGTATAAGAAACTACGAGAGTAATGATGATATTAAAGGTATGAAAAGAGAATATGCTTAACGTCCTACTAACCTTCTACCCTAATGTTCGACCTCCTTACCCTCCCATCAAGGCCATGTTCTCAGTAAGCTGCACATATGCGATGTCCTGCCTAATTACCTCGCCCCAGTACTTCTTTGGCTTATATCTGCCTCTCATTAGGCCTCCATGGCTAACTTCTCACACGTCCTCACTGGGGCATCTGAGCACCTTCTCTTCACATGCCCAAACCATCTCAACCTCGCTTCCCGCATCATGTCCACCACGGAGGCCATTCCCGCCTTTTCCCGAACATCTTCATTCCTTATTTCTCCTAGTATGCCGACACATTCATCTCAGCATCCTCATCTCCGCTATTTTCAACTTCTGGACATGGCGGGAAACTGAAAATGCATCCTGAAATAATGAGTTCAAAATAAAATAATACCTCCAATTTGTGATAACATTGGAACATTAGTGCAGTCAGTAGTTATTGTAGCGAATATACTGTGTTGAAAATGTCACAAGAGGATTGGTTATTGTATTCTAAATGTCTCTTAGAAGTTATCCAAAGATTGGTCTTTGAATGACAATCACACAGTCGACTATTCTGCTTGACAAATGCAATTGACAAAAAAAAGATACCAAGACAAGCATGCTGATGATTTTCTGTTTGTACCAAAAAATTCAAGATATCATCAGTGTGCAAGCTATGCGTGTTGTCATCTGTTACGCACAGATATTGATCTCCATTTTTTCTTTATTAGCTTCTATATGGGGTCTGTTTCGTGATATGCAGTACCAGAGGTATCATAATCATGGTATCTTTCTAGTTCCTTTTCTTATCTTTCCCTAATCTTTCAAATGCAAGATACCAGCTTTTCATTGTTAACAGAGACACAAAGGTGACTTCTATATGGAGTCTGTTTATAATTATATGCTGTATTAAAGGTCTCATAATTGTGCTATCTTTTTATGTTTACTTTTTTCATCTCTCCCCGCTTTCAAATTTAAAATGCCATCTTTTCATTGTTAAAAGAGACAAAAAGTTGCTATGCCTCTCTCTTCCTCAACTCTGGGCTGCCCCTACTTGGGAAGTTTTTCATGTCCTACCTCTCTCATGCTCTGCCTTGTAGATAACTCTAGGACTTCACTTGATTTATTTCTTATGATCTTAACTTGAATCTACTTGATCGCATAGCAACATTAAAGCTGGCAACATCATGATCGTACTGATTTTAGCGATAGTTCAGAGACAGCTCAATGAGAATCTTCAGGGAACTTACTGGAGTAATCAGACAGATTATGCTGTATCAGCATCCAACAAGAACTTTCTGTAGTGTTGTCATTAACATTTCTTTTACATAACATGGTATTTACGCAAAGGAATGATTCATGGGTTAAAAATCAGGCACAAGCAGGAACAGAGAGAAGAAAGTAAAAAGTACTGGGAAATCTTGGGGGATCCAGGGAGATACTCCTGGGAAAAGAGGGTTGTTAGGACGAGATTGAGAAAATGTATTATCACATATCATGTGGATCTCACCACACATGATCAATGTACTTGTTTACAGCGGTAGGTACAGTTACAAAATCTAACAGTAGTTGTGTCCATTCAGTCCGTTAGAGCAAAGGGGAACAGATTTGAGAATATTTGATGCTCTTCTTTTCCCTGTATGAGTTGTAATCAGATGGGGAAAAAAGGCTACTTCTGTCTCCCTATAACCTTTATTTTATCGTCATTTAGTTTGTGCCAATGAAAGAATATGTTGCAGTACCAAGGCAGAGATTACATAGATTACTGTATAGGGTCAAATTTGATCCTCAGCATCTCTACGCCAGTGGGTACGCCCAGTGAGTGTACGCCGACTAACGTAGCGGGTACGACTCGGACGTGGGGACAAAAGCGACATCGTTTAGGACTCAGTGTCTTCACTAGGGAGACGTTATCTGTCTTTGTAACTTTTTGATTCTTTCGAGGAAGGTCTCTTATTATATAAAGGAGACCTTCACATTGTAAAGAGGGGATTCTGATCTAATACAACTCTCTCATTTTCTGGCTTTCTCTCTCTATCACTACCTCAAACGAACATATCTTATTGAGTTCATATTATCACTTTGCAATACTAGATCTACAACAATAATATCATCTTTGCATCTCTAGGTTTATTATATTTGATTACGATTTACCCTTTTCTTACTTTTGATTGTTTTCTAGCTTATAAAGTATATTGTTAACTTTTGAGCCAAACAATTTGGCGCCGTCTGTGGGGATTTCGAGAATCAAAACCATAGTATCCACCTAGAGATCAACCAACTACCACTCTCTACACCACACAGAAACAGAAAATGGCCGAAAATAACACAAGATCGGAAGCGATATTGGGTGTCACTACTAATCTCCTTGGCCCTCTCAACGAGGCCAGTGACGATGGCATCCCGAATGCAACCTCTAGCATCACACCGGGTGCGGAGATCTCACCTTCCCCATCCGAAGGTCTGACGATCTTGCACGAAAAAGGAGCTTCCACATCTGCGGCTACAGAAGCACCCTCAGCGGTCAAGGAGCTACTGGAAAGATGGCTAACAAGCACTCTAAGCGGCTTGGTTGAGAGGTCACCACAAAGTAACATCAGGTGTACACCAACGGTAGGTACCGCTGCTGCCGTGGGTGAACCGGAAGTTGCACTGGCTAATGACAAACCCATCGAGGCACAGACCAACGATAGCACGCTAACAGCCATCCTAAAGAAGATGGAAGAAATGGAAAATGAAAACAAGGCGCTCCGCAGTCAGATGAAGGAACATCAGGAGAGGGTCGACAAGATCCCCGGTGCTCCCAAGTTGCTACCAAAGCGCGACGTGGTAAGGTTCGTTGAACAACCATACGCTGAAGAAGCTGCCCCTCACTCCACCCCAAAAACCTTCAAGATGCCACCATACTTGAGGGTATATGACGGAACCACAGATCCCGAGGATCATCTGATCCACTACGTCACCGCTGTGAAGGGCAACGACCTATCGAAAGAACAGGTACCGTCGGTACTGCTGAAGAAGTTTGGCGAGACGTTGATAGGAGGGGCCTTAACATGGTACTCTCAGCTACCGGCTAAGGCAATATCAACGTTCGAGGAAATGGCGGATAAGTTCGTCACAACCCATGCAGGCGCGAAGAAAGCGGAGGCCAGGGTCAACGACATCTTCGCCGTCAGGCAAACCACAGGAGAGGGACTCAGGGACTTCCTGGCAAGGTTTAATAGGGTAAGGATGAGTCTACCAAACGTATCGGAAGGTATGGCAGTCACCGCTTTCTAGAACGGGCTAAGCAGAGATGGTTCGAGGGCAACCAAGAAGCTGCTGAGCCGCCTCATGAAATATCCCCCTACCACATGGGAGGAAATCCACAACGCCTATTGCGCCGAGGTACGAGCGGACGAGGACGATCTTAATGGGCCGACCCAACGGCTAACAGCGATACACTCAGAAATGAGGAGAGATCGACGGAACGAAGGACGACGAGAACAACTTCCCCGCTCCAACAGAGATCGACATCAGCCATACACCAGATCCTCCCATCCGCCACCAAGGCATACAGACGCGCTACAGCGACACGTCGCCCCACTCCGAAACGAAAGAGGTACGCCCCCTTTATTAACCGCCCATAACTTTTGTGTATCTCCCTCAGAAATAGTGTACGCACTGGAGAAGCTGGGCACCAAGGTGCAGTGGCCGCAGAAGATGAAATCAGACCCTGCCACAAGGAAATCAAACGCCCTATGTGAGTTCCATCAGGAACGGGGACACAAAACCGAAGACTGCATAGGCCTACGGCAAGAGGTGGTTAGGATGCTGAACCAGGGATACCTGAGGGAGTTACTCAGTGAAAAAGGGAAAATCAACTTTGCACGCGGACGAGAACAACCCCACGGGCCGCCGAAGCCACCTTTCCCAGCGCGCACGATAAACATGATCGTCGGAGGCGGCGACGAGTCAGTGATCAATCACGTCAAGTTCGCCACCACACACAGGCTAAAGCGGACCATCGCCCATGAACGGTATGACGACTTCGAAGATAGTATCACCTTCGATAAGTCTGATGCCGACGGTTTGTCTTTCCCTCATTATGATGCTTTAGTTATCACTTTACGTATCGCTGATACGGATGTTAAAAGAGTCATGATCGATGAC